TGTCTGCGACGGCGGCTTCCCACAACTGCACTCATGGGGCTCTGGGACCTGGGGGGGGGGTCACGACTATGATGGACCACACCAACCTCACGAGGAGCTGAGAAGTGAGGTCGGTGACAGATGTTCACAGCTGTGTCACCACCCATGGCCCTTCACATATAAAGGGATGGAGAAATGACTGCTGCCCAGCCGGGTCCCCGGGCGCGGCACTTACGCCTGAGGGCTGCATGTCACAGGCAAAGTATCTCTTCCCCTTCCCAGCCAGGGCTCACCGTGCCTGCCTGGCCTCTCCCTGACTGACAGGAACTAGTCTCGCTAACTGATAAGCCACGAACCACCCTGGGCCTCCCTACCACCCTCTGACAGCAGCTCCTGGGACCCACGGAGTGCCCTCGGCCAGGACTTCTCAGCTTGGGCAACACTACACTAAGTCTGAGGCCGGAAGACTGCTTGGGCTGTCCCAGTGCTGGGTTCCTCAGCGTCCCCTCAGCCTGGCATCTCCACCCCACAGAGAACTAGGCTCTACCAGTCGGGGCTGGGTGGGTAAAGGACACGCTCAGTCAACGAGGGCATGGCCACCCGTCACACAGTCCCTCAGCACTGGTGGCAATGCCACTCCCAAAGATGAATGGGAACCTGGCCTTGTCTTAAGAGCGGAGGCAGCAAGGGCAGGGTCGGTCCTTCCTAGTTTGTCTCTAGCATAGCAGCACTGAGGAGCTGCACCAGGCAGGCGGAGGCCTGCAGGGGGCACTGAGAGCCAGGCCCAGCCAGATCCAGGCTGACATGAACAGGAGGAAGAGAGGAGGGGAACAGGAGTAAGGTGGGAGGACAGTCGGAGAAGGGGCGCTCAAGTGAGGAGAGCAAGGACGAGGGTAAGTGTGGAGAAGACTCGAGCATGAGCGCAGAAGGCCCAAGACCGCCTGGAGCACAGGGAGGGTGAGAGGCGTGGCAGGGCCACGGCGAAGTGCCACATACGTTTTGATCATTGCCTTGAGGGCAGCCTTGCGCTCCCGGTCTGCAAACTTGTCCACGAGGTAGCCAGACATGCAGGGCGCATGGCAGTAGAGCCGGAAGAAGCGGTGGTAGTTGCCCAGGGCCCAGGCTGCCCGCAGTGCCAGTGCATGGGCCACACAAGGGTCTGCCTTCAGCTCCCGCGTGAGGTACGCCAGCTCCGTGGTGATGTCTGCGGCCAACACACACACAAGCAGTCGGCAGGGTGCCAACCTAGGCACCGGGGGCGGGGGGGGGCACCAGGGGCTGGGCCTGGCTCCCACCTCCTGAGTTCTTGGTGAACATGTAGTAAAGGATCCGATAGGCAGTAAACTCGCCCACGTTGCCCGGCAAGTTCTCCGAGTACAGAGACTTGAGCTGCGTCTGGCACTGGTTGAACTCTTCGTGGTCGCCCTGAGGGCAGGCAGGCGGGGAGGGGAGGAGCACGGTGAGGCCCAGGCAGGTGCACAGGGGTGGAGGCCACAGGGGGTGGCTGCGCTCACCTTCTCCAAGGCAATACGGGCGTGGGTCTCATACACCTCCACGGTGAATTCCGTGCGCACACCTTGCACCTGGGCAGCAGGGACACAGGAGTCACGAGGGTGGGGAGGCAGGACGCCTACCCCAGGGCCCTGCCCGGGTCCCCCTCACCGTCAGGTCCTGCCGGATGGACTTCATCTGCTCACAGGCAAAGGCGTAGTCCTGCTTCTCCTTCCAGTGAGACTTGACCATGCACAGAGACTTCCTCAGAACCTGGTGGGGGTTGGAACAGAACGCATGGGCAAGCGGGCAGGGGCAGCTGGGCGAGCCGAAGCACCCGCTTCCTATCACTGGGCATTCTCGGGATGAGGGAACACCGAAGGCAGGTGTTCTGGCCATGTCTACACGTCCCCTGAGTCTTCGTGTGCTCACGGGAGGGGTCTTTTTCATAAGTGGCTGAATCTAGAGTGTGATGTTGGGATTAAGTGTGAGTGATTATTAAATCAGGCTCCTACTGACTGGCTTGGCACTCCCCTGATCCTGGCAGCCGGGGCAGAGCAATAAAGGAACAGAAAGAAGCTGGTAAGTCCCTTGCTTTGCTTCCTTATCTGCCGTGAACGGTCTCCCCTCTGCCATATCATCCAACCTTGGAGCCAGCTATGGACTGAAACCTCTAGAAACTCTGAGCCAAAGAAAAACCTTTCTTCTCTTAATTTTGGGTGTTAGGTATTTTGTCTCAGTAACACATAAAGCTACTAAGACAGCAACTTAGTGACTCACTGCTGTCATAAAAATCAAAGGCACGAGGGCACAAGTGGCCCCACACCGTCTCTGGCCACACAATGGGCTGTGCCCTTGACCTAGCGTGGAGCAGTGACTGCCTTGCTGTGGCCCCAGCAAGGCCAAGGCTGCACACCTTCCACACAGGGATCCAGAACAGGTGTGCTGAGGCCCTGGCCAGCCTGTGGTCCCAGGTGCGAGGCTGCTCCTCCCGAGTGAGCCTCCAGGCCTCGGGCCAGCACCTCACGGGGCCAACCTGCCCTGCTGAGGACTTACTGCCACGGGGCGCACAGTGGAAGGGTCGGGGGCGCAGGTGAGACGCAGGTAATGCTTGGTGATGTCTGGGCAGGTGCCCACGATCTGCAGCTCCTGCCAGTCAGGGTCAGTCCCGCCACTGTCCAAATTGCTCATCTGCAGCACCAGGGGCTCGAGGCGCAGGCGGCGGGAGTGCCCGTGCTGGAAGCGCGCCGCACGCTTCTGCTTCTTCAGCTCACGCTCCGGGTCCTCACACTCCAGAGCTGCCATCTTCTTGCGGCTGCGCTTGGTGGGAGCCAGATCGTGCCTACGAGGCAGAAGAGCGTAAGGACGGAGACATCTCTGGCCCCCCTCTGGCCCAGCCAGCTGCCCACCTGCCCCGGCCTCCCCCCAGGCCGCCCAAGCCGTGACGCGGCCCAC